AAAAAATAGAAAATATAAAAATTACAAATATCCAATATTTATCATGTTAATTTTTTTAAAAAAAAAGAGCTCGAATATCTGTAACTTAAATAAATTAAAAACATGGAAAAAGGTCGAAGCCCCCTTTTTTCTTGACCCCCACCACCCCCAATGTATTGGGATTGGCCAACTTTTTGCTTTTTGTTTTTTATTTTTTTTTCCTTCTATCATTCACTGATATATGTCTGTGGGGAATGTGGGGGTCAAGAAAAAATGGGGTTTCTATCATTTCTATAAAAATATATATACAAACTATAAATATTCAATGTCTATCACGTTATTTTTTAAAAAAATAAAGAAACCCACAAGTTTTATTCCTACAATTTACTAAATCAGGCGTCTATCACATAAAATTCAGTAATATCTAATAAATTAATATAAAAAAATACGCATCCACAAAAAGACACCACTTTGTGTTTATTTTGTAATTTAAAAAATCTTTAAAAAAATCTAACAACAAATCAAAATAAATCCTCTTTTTCATATATAACAATAATTTGATTGCGTTATCTTGGCTTATTTTAAAACCTGTTATAATTTTCTTTACAAAAAGTTACATTAGCTCCTCAGTAGATACATGTTGTATAATAGTTTTTTTTTTAATTTTTTTATGTACTTACAATAAATAATGATACTAAGATTTTTTATTCTTTATCTTTTGTATTCCAGTTAGAATTCTATTGAAGAATAAGATAAGCAAACTTGAGGTATCACTGCCAAAATATATTAGCACCAATTGGATAACCATTTGATATTTCCAAGTTTGAAGTTAAATTACAAATTTTTAAATCTTTGGTTACATACTATTTTTATGAATTCTATAGCAAATGTTATCATGTAAGAGGTGATGATTTCACTGTGCAAAATTAACTACAAACAATTATAAACTACCAAGTTTGTGCGTTATTTTAGCAGATTTTAATATGACTAGAAACAATTGGTGACTATCATATCTATATATATAATAAATATATAACCTGCATAATTTTAGATCTTTGATACATTCTATTTATATGGATTCTACAGCAGATGTTATCATATAGGAGTTAATCATTTCAATGTGTAAAATTAACTACAAGCAATTATATATTATCATGTTTTTTATATGAAAGTCATATGTTACATATCTTTAAGTAATTATCTATACTACAAACTAATAGCATAAGTTATGTAAGCTTCAAGTTAATACTCTATTCAGGATGGATATAATTTTTAATTGAGAAATTAATCAAACACGACTTAAGTCCAAGATGGCTTGGTTAGTAGCCAAAAGAAGACTGCTTTTGACACGGTATTTTGATCGTAATGATCCAACATTCAAGATTCGTCTTCTCAATATAGAAAATGAGGCTCGATGTTTGAGAACCATCGTTTTGCGTTTGAAAAGATTACGAAGTAGTGCCCATCATATTGGTAATCTATTGACTTCTACATTTTCAAGTACAAATCGAATTAGTGAGAACTTCACATTTTCAATAATCTTTTAAGAATCACAAAAATAATAATATGATCTTATATTATATTAGGTGTTGATAAAGAATATGAAAATCGATATCGAAAATATCTTTCCTCTAAGTTGGCACGACTGGTGACAAGAAGATTACTTTTAACATGATATGATCGTAATGATACTACATTAAAGGATCGCCTTTGGAAAATTGAAAAGGAGAATCGACATTTGAGGATCATAATCTTGCGGCTCAAAAGAATGCAACGTGGTGCTTTTAGACAAACATGCAGTCGCAATAATGACAATGCTCCTGATGCTAGTCACGTTGGAATTCAAATTCCTGTATCTAATGAATTAGACACAAATGAATTAGAAGTGCGAGCTCCTAATATTGTACCACCAATTTCGAAGAGAGCACATCCACCTAGTAATAAACATTTAGCCAACTATGTACTCTATACAAATTTCTTACATACGCTAGAAATTCATAATTATAATCTAAATCTAAATAATTTCAAGTAGTACATTTACCACGCGTTCTAGAAGGAGAAAAAATTCAAATCGCTCAAACTTTGGTGGGAGAACAGTAACATGCTCTAGATGTCAAGCAATGATGTGGATAGAGGAAAAAGTAAGAGATAGTCCATGGAGTCGATCAAAATTTAGTCTCTATTGTCAAAGTGGACAAGTGATGTTGCCTTTATTGCCAGAAGCTCCTGAATTTTTGCGACAATAGTTTACTCATGTGAGATTCAGGGAATGCATAACGACATATAACTCTCTATTATCCTTCACATCCATGGGTGGAAAAATTGATCAATCAGTGTTAGATGGAAGGGGTCCTTATGTCTTTCATATTGGTGGTGCAAATTTTCATAAGATTGGTTCTTTACTACCAAAACCTGGAAAAGGCCTAAATTTGCACAACTCTATATTTATGACACTGAGCATGAAATTCGCAATAGAATGGACGTTATGAATAGGTGTGGTGGCACATTGAGAATTGATACGTCCACATTAGAAGGTTTATAATCAATGTTGAATGTCATCAATCCATATGCATCAATTTTTCGCACTACTTGAGACATGATCCATGAGAATGGTGCTCAAGAATTGCATATTCATATTTTGAGTGCAAGGGATGGAAGACAGTACACTAGACCCACTACAACTAAAATTGCCGCATTAATTGTTGGTGATGGGTTTGAAAGCACTAGAAATCGTGACATACTTGTTAGAAAATTGGATGGACATTTACAAAGGATTAATGAAACACATCCTTCATACATGCCACTTCAGTATCCATTACTTTTTCCCTATGGGCCTGATGGATAGAGAAGGTCTATAAGTTTTACTCTAGGTACAAACAACAAACAAGAAGAAGTGTCAATGAGAGAGTTTTATGCATTTAGACTTCAATTTCGAGTTGGAGATAGGAAAACGCTATTGCAAGGGGGACGTTTGTTCCAACAATTTGTTGTTGATTGTTATGCAGCTATTAAGCAAGATAGACTAAACTTCATCAGGCATAAACAGAATATGTTGCAGACTAATTTGTACAAGAGCTTTAAAGATACTGTGATTGCGAGTGATAGTGATGCATCAACCGTTGGTAGGAGATTTATACTCGCATCATCTTTTACAGGTGGCCTACGAAATATGATTCAACATTACCAAGATGCGATCACAATATGTTGACAGGTGGCATTTCCCGACCTTTTTGTCACATTCACATGTAACCCAAATTGGTCAGAAATTCAACAGGATATAGCGCATATTCCAAATCAATGCACAGAGGATATACTGGATATACTTGCAGAGTTTTTCGAATTAAATTGAAACAACTTATGGCATATTTCAAAAATCAAAAATTCTTTGGCAAAATAATTGCTGGTTTGTTTTTATTTGAACTGGTCAATTAGATTTGTTAAATTTAGTTTAAAGTCAACAAATAATATTATTTTTTCTTGAATAGATATTCACGTCATCAAATTTCAAAAGCGAGGATTACCGCATTCGCACATTATCTTGACATTATCAGCAAATGACAAGATAAAATTGCCAGAGGAAATTGATGATATAATTTGTGCTGAAATTCTGGATAAGGATGAAGATCCATTAGCATCTCAAACAATAATGAGGTGCATGATACATGGTCCCTATGGTAGTGCTAACCCTAATGCCCCATGTATGGTGAATGGAAACTGCTCAAAACATTATCTAAAGAATTTTTGCAGTGAAACGAGTATTAATGAAAATGGATTTGTTATCTTTAGGCAAAGGGATACAAAGAAAAAATGCATGGTTAATGGATTTGAAATTAACAATAGATGGGTTATTCCATACAACCGTGATCTTATTATACTGTATGATGCCCATATTAATATTGAGCGTTGTGCACACAACAAATTGATCAAGTACTTATATAAGTACATACATAAAGGTCTTGATCATGTAACAGTTTTAATTGAAGATAATGTTAATCGACTTAACATTGATGGACAAAGTCGGCGTAGAGTGGCTGATGAGGTAAAACAACACTTAGATTGCTGATATATCTTCGCAATTGAATGTAGCTGGCGTATATTTGAGTTTGAATTGCAAAAGCAATACCCTTCAGTTGAATGGTTACAGTACCATCTACCTGGGGAAGAATCTATTCTATTTAGAGACAAAGATAACATTCCGTTAATTATTAATCAGTCGGGGGTTCACGAGACAATGTATACAAGGTGGTTTCAAGCAAATTGAGATCATATAGAGGCGAATGCATTAACATATGAAGAGTTTCCTAGCTCATGGCTTTGGAACCAGAAACAGAAGAAGTGGAAAATGAGGCAACAACAAATATGCATAGGTAGATTGTATTATGCACTTCCTAATTCTGGTGAACGATATTATTTACGTATGTTACTTACTAAGGTTCGAGGTGAAAAATGTTATGAATTTATTAGAACCGTTAATGGCATTGTGCACCTAACATTTAAATCTACATGTATGAATTTATTAGAACCGTTAATGGCATTGTGCACCTAACATTTAAATCTACATGCCTTGTACTTGGCTTACTTGACGATGATAATGAGTGGGACGCAGCTTTAACAGAAGCCTCAACATGGGCATCGGGTGCTTTACTGCGAAATATGTTTTGCTCAATGCTAATGTTTTCTGAGGTTACAAATGCATATGAATTGTGGGAGAATCATTGGTTTGACCTTACTGATGATTTACAAAATAGGGTAAGAAGGCAAATTGGGGTTGGCAATATACGTCTCGAAGAATGTGAATTGAAAAATTTAGGATTGCTTGAAATTGAGCACATACTAAATCAGAATGGAAGGTCTCTTAAAGAGCTTCCTTCGATGTCACTACCATCATATCGATCAGGTCAAATGGTTACTAATAGACTCATAAGGGAGGAACTGAACTACAATAACATTTCAAAAATGCAACCTTTTGAATCTTTATATGTGGGATTGAATGATGACCAATTGAAGTGTTTAACACCATAATGGAAGCTTATTCCAATCATGAGGGCTTATATTTTGTGTATGGTAGTGGAGGAACTGGAAAGACATATTTATGGAACACTTTAATTGCAAAATTTCGATCTGATAAAAAGATCATTCTTTCTATCGCGTCATCAGGTATTGCGGCTTTGTTCTTACTCGGGGGACGAACTGCCCATTCCCGTTTCAAGATTCCACTTGATCCTGATAACTCATCATGTTATTCAATAAATCAAGGGACAGGTTTGGCAAGGTTAATTCAAGAGGCGTCGTTAATTATATGGGATGAAGCACCAATGGTTAGTCGTCATGCTTTTGAAGCTGTTGATCGTACATTTAGGGACATATTAAAAAATACAGAACATTGTTCAGAGGATAGGGATTTTGGCGGAAAACTATTTGTGCTTGGTGGTGACTTTAGACAAATATTGCCTATCGTACCTAGAGGTGGGCGTGAACAAACAGTGGAAGCTTCATTACCTAATTCAACAATTTGGAAGCATTGTCAAGTTTTGCATCTTACCAAAAATATGCGTGTTACAGCACAAGATATTTCTAATCATATGCTTCATGAATTACGTGACTTTGCAGAGTGGATTAAATTAGTTAGTGAAGGGAAAATAATGGGAAGCTCATTTAGTGAAGGCTATGAACCTAAGTGGATACAGATACCAGAAAAAATGGTTATAAAAAATGGAGAAAGAGATTTGCACCAGTTAATCGATGCCACTTATCCTGATTTCATAAATAAATATCAGGATATGTCGTATTTAAAAGAACGAGGCATTTTAGCTCCTAAGAATAGTGTTGTTGATGAAATCAATTCTATTATACTTTCGATGCTTCCTGGAGAGATGAAAACTTTTAACAGTGCTAATAAATTGTGTCCAACAGAAAGCAAGAAGGCATGAACCCTCCTGAACATTTGCATTCTTTGAATTTACTAGGACTCCCAAATCATTGTTTGTAGTTGAAAGTTGGAACACCAATAATGCTTCTAAGAAATGTCAACCAATCTTTGGGATTATGTAATGGCACTCGATTAATTGTTGATAAGATGAGAAATCGAGTAATTGAAGCTAGAGTTATTACAGGGTCTAGAGTTGGTGAGAAAGTATTACTTTCACATATTCATTCTCCTTTTACAATGAATTCCAATAAAGTTGCTATGACAATAAATAAGAGTCAAGGGCAAACTTTGAAGAATGTGGGCCTTTATCGTCCTAATCCAGTCTTCTCTCATGGCCAGCTGTATATAGCTCTATCACGTGTCACCTCTCTATCAAGCTTAAAGTTGTTGGTTATTGATAAACAAGGCATACCGGATGATGTAACCAAAAATGTTGTTTACATAGAAGTTTTTAGTGGCATTGATCAATAATTTTGTTCAAGAGTTTCAAATGTAGATGACGATTTTCCTGGAAACAATTATTTTATTATTTTTCTTCATATATTGATTGTTTAAAATAAGTAATGTCATAGATGAAAACATATGTCGCATTTGAAATTTACATGTTTATATTTAATTTAATTGTCTAGACATATACTATGTTTAATTCATACGATTATTTTATTTTATAATTAAGTACCCTTCTTTTTCTTTTTCTTTTTGAATAAACAATTTTATGTTAACAATTATCATTATAAATTTTGCTCAAATAATAATAAATGTGGTTTATTATTAAAAAAAACTTGACTAACATTATGTAGTTCTATGTTAAATGTGTTAAATTCATTATGCAAATAAATATGCCTTCCTCTAAATTTTTGCTGTAGTGATCGTTTAGCCATGCAAAATGCCTTAAATGAATTTGAAACTGTACCGCATAAAGAGGGTTTACCAGTAGAAAATTTTGTTGATTGGAAAATCAAAATATGTCGAGCAATACAAAAATTAGGGGAAAAAATAAGTGAAAAAAAATTGATGGAAACAATATTAGACCTTTTACCATCAAGCTGGAATGAAGTGCAGAAAATAATTTTTCAAAAGCATGAAATCAAAGATGCCTCAAACTTAATGGATGCTTTAATGGAGGAGGAGCGTGAAGTTCATCCTCCATGGATTGAACTTGAGCAAGAGCAGGTGACTTCAAATTTAACGGTATGAGAGCATATGTTACATAAAGAGCAAGTGTTTTATAAACTTAGGAAAAAAGGTTTCCAGCCCCACATTGCAATATTTGTTCATGCTATAGTTAACACACTTCCAATCTCATGACCTATTCAAGAAATTCATAAAATAAAATAAAAAATTAAAAAAGACTTTTCATACATGAAAGCATTGATAGTTATGTTAGAGAAAATTGAAAATGATATGATTCATTTACAAGCATTGGATGAAGTGGAGCAACGCATTAATGGTAATGAAAATAATAAAGTGAAACAACAGTAGCAGCAACAACATAATAATGGTTGTGAAGAGAAAGAAGTGAAGCAACAAGTCAAAAATGAGGACAATTAAATCAACACTCCTCATAAGGTAATATTTTTTTTTTTTTAAAGTTTGTTTGTATGTAATAAATGATAAGAAAAAATGTTAACACTTTTTTATTTTACAGGTACTTTTTGGAACATTTGGACATGATGAACGACATCTATTGAGTTTTAATTTATCAAATATAGATATATTTGATTTATGACATTTAGTTTATTATTAGTTTTTTTAGCATATATATGTTTTAGTCATTAGGTTCATTGAGAAACATCTTATTTATTGTTAATATAGATTATTTCATTAGTTAGAAATTAAGTTTATTGTTTTAAGAAAAATAACTCAATTGGATGATTATAATATTTTATGAATATTTGTTTTGAAATATTATCTTCACTTATGAAATTTGAAAAGATGATTCCTATGCATTATGATTATAATTTTATAAGTTAATTTAGAAATTAATGCATTATTAAAAAATTTACACATTATTAAACCAATCCCGTACATAGCACGAGTTTACCACTAGTATTTCAATATGCTAATGTGACATTTATTTTTATTTTTGTTATTTCAAATTTTAAAACTTCATAACTTTTACTATAAATTTTTCAAAAATAAAATATTAATTTTTAATTGTACGAAATTAAGAATTTCTTAATTTTTCCTAGTTTTAAAACTGAGAAATTTCTTAATTCTGCACAGTAATGTTCCTTATAGTTATTTGCCAAAAAATAAATTTTATTTTTATATAATTTTATATTGAATATTAGTATTGTTTGATATATCTCTAATGAGTAAGTTCTAAAAATATAAATTTTATAAAAAAATTTTAAAAAAAATTAAGTGTGTAATACGAAAATCATGATATTTTAAAATTTAAAAACAAAAATGACAATTTTATTTCATCATCAAGCTTTCACATTAGCACATGTTAGTCTCCTTTTCCCTTTTAATGCAGTTCTATGTTAAATGTGTTAAATTCATTATGCAAATAAATATGCCCTCCTCTAAATTTTTGCTGTAGTGATCGTTTAGCCACGCAAAATGCCTTAAATGAATTTGAAACTGTACCGCATAAAGAGGGTTTACCAGTAAAAAATTTTGTTGATTGGAAAATCAAAATATGTCGAGCAACGCAAAAATTAGGGAAAAAAATAAGTGAAAAAAAAATTATGGAAACAATATTAGACCTTTTACCATCAAGCTAGAATGAAGTAAAGAAAATAATTTTTCAAAAGCATGAAATCAAAGATGCCTCAGACTTAATGGATGCTTTAATGGAGGAGGAGCGTGAAGTTCATCCTCCATGGATTGAACTTGAGCAAGAGCAGGTGACTTCAAATTTAACGATATGAGAGCATATGTTACATAAAGAGCAAGTGTTTTATAAACTTAGGAAAAAAGGTTTCCAGCCCCACATTGCAATATTTGTTCATGCTATAGTTAACACACTTCCAACCTCATGGCCTATTCAAGAAATTCATAAAATAAAATAAAAAATTAAAAAAGACTTTCCATACATGAAAGCATTGATAGTTATGTTAGAGGAAATTGAAAATGATATGATTCATTTACAAGCATTGGATGATGTGGAGCAACGCACTGGTAATGAAAATAATAAAGTGAAACAACAGTAGCAGCAACAACATAATAATTGTTGTGAAGAGAATGAAGTGAAGCAACAAGCCAAAAATGAGGACAATTAAATCAAGACTCCTCATAAGGTAATATATATATATTTTTTAAGCTTGTTTGTATGTAATAAATGATAACAAAAACTGTTAACACTTTTTTATTTTACAGGTACTTTTTGGAACATTTGGACATGATGAACGACATCTATTGAGTTTTAATTTATCAAATATATCTATTTATGACATTAAGGCCAAGTTTGGGTAGACTAAATAAGTGCACTTTTTGACTTTTCTTATATTATGTGTAGAAAAAGTAGAGAGGAGATGTTGATTGATGTGACCTAAAAAAGATAAAAAGATGAAATAAGTGCACTTTTTTAGTTTAGCCAAACTTGGCCTAAGTTTATTATTAGTTTTTTTAGCATATATATGTTTTAGTCATTAGGTTCATTGAGAAACATCTTATTTATTGTTAATATAGATTATTTCATTAGTTAGAAATTAAGTTTGTTGTTTTAAGAAAAATAACTCGATTGAATGATTATAATATTTTATGAATATTTGCTTTGAAATATTGTCTTCACTTATGAAATTTGAAAAGATGATTCCTATGCATTATGATTATAATTTTATAAGTTAATTTAGAAATTAATGCATTATTAAAAAATTTACACATTATTAAACCAATCCCGTACATAGCACGAGTTTACCACTAGTATTTCAATATGCTAATGTGACATTTATTTTTATTTTTGTTATTTCAAATTTTAAAACTTCATAACTTTTACTATAAATTTTTCAAAAATAAAATATTAATTTTTAATTGTACGAAATTAAGAATTTCTTAGTTTTTCCTAGTTTTAAAACTGAGAAATTTCTTAATTCTGCACAGTAATGTTCCTTATAGTTATTTGCCAAAAAATAAATTTTATTTTTATATAATTTTATATTGAATATTAGTATTGTTTGATATATCTCTAATGTGTAAGTTCTAAAAATATAAATTTTATAAAAAAATTTTAAAAAAAATTAAGTGTGTAATACGAAAATCATGATATTTTAAAATTTAAAAACAAAAATGACAATTTTATTTCATCATCAAGCTTTCACATTAGCACATGTTAGTCTCCTTTTCCCTTTTAATTGAGGGCTAATCGTCTAACAATAAAGTAGTTAGAAAAAAATGACTCATTGAAATAAAATACTTTACATGGACTTACCTTAACACAATCTCATCAAATAAACTTATAGCTAATTATTCTTAAAATATAATATTTATTTTAATAAATATATGTGCCTACACATAGAGACGCTCTTGCTCTCAATATATTTTTTGCAAGGATGTTTTCACACTTCTGCTCCTGTGTTTTGCACCCGCTTTAGCTAATTTCTTACTAAAGTTCTACCAGATGAACTTGTTATAACTAGGTCCTATGCAATGTTTATTGATGTGTGAGGCCCCATTGTCATGTTCTTTTTTAAAATTTTCAGCAAAAATTCAAATTGATTTTTCTTTATTGAAGTATTTAGCAACAACGCCACTCATGCTAACATCGTCGTTGCATTGTCAAGCAAGTTAATTTTTCTTTCAAACTTTATCATCTTTCATTATAAGAATCTGATTTTTTTATAAAATTTATATTTTTATAATATATTTGTCAACATCTATAGAAAGATCCATTTTGAAATTTAAAACTATGTATTAATAAAGAAAGAAAGAAACTTTTCAATTCGAAAAATGAGGAATTTTGCAATTTTTCAAAATTGAGTTCTGAATTGTTGTGCTTCAAAAATGCCTTACAAAAATTGCAAAATTTCATAGTTTTCTTGCACTAGTCTTGTACATGAAACACACATCTTGATCCTCAATTTTATAAAAATAATAAGAAAAAAAAAGTCTAACTCGATGACCAATGCACCAATAGGGCTACAATATAATACTCAACTCTTCCATTTATCTTCTCCATGCGACAATATAATTTAAATATGAGATGAAGTGTGGAGATTGCATCAAGAAGTTTGGGACATGGGAATGGAGGCATGAGATACAAAATTGGTTGATAAATCTATTATATATCCAAAGTAAGAGGACTTTTTTTTAGTGGGATCACGTGAGTCTAAGATCTCGTATATGTAGTATGGCCTCGGATTGTAGTGTTATTTGCAAGATAATACTTGTTAATGTTGTAACATTGATCAAACCCAATCAAAGTATGACTCCTAGGTGGTGCAAGTCTAATGGGGATGTAACTCCTAAGTTGATGAAACATTACACTTCTCTATAAAGAGTACACCCGCATGCGTTGAGGTACA